AAGGAACAGTACAACTGTATGTCATCAGTACAACTGTATGTCATCAGTACAACTGTATGTCATCAGCATACAGATGGTAGGACACATTACTGTAAAGTTTTAAAACAGACCTTCATGAGAGGCTTTGTTAAATTTACTCACTGAATTTGTTGAATTCCTGCACATTTCCAGAGCAAGCTCAGTGTTTACACCACATTACCTGTGACCTGGAAGTGTTATCTATAGGGTTACTCACTATGAATGGATATATTTAGKTACAGGTAAACATGGCTGTATTTGGTCTGTGAGAGGAAACTGGAGAAAACCCACATGTGTACAGGGAGAACATGCAAACTCCACACAGAAAGGCCTCTGGCCCGACCAAATATTCAAAAACTGTGGAAACGATGGAAACTGTGCTGTAATTAGAACTGTTCATTTAAGGAAAACTGAATAAAAGGTTATGCAGATTTATGGGCAAATAGGAAAGGATTTTAACCCTAACTGTTCAATCAACGCCAAATTCTCTTCAAAATAAAAGTCTGGGTCTGTCATATCTGCTTTGTTCAATGGACCAATTACAGCAATTCCCACTCTCGCCACTGATTATTTTCTGACAAAAAAAAAAATCAAATAAACCACGAATAAAATAAGATAAAATAAAAAATAAATTGACGTGACATGAATGTACTTTGTAATTCAACGCATTACAGAAATGTAGTGGAGTAGAAATTACAGATACTTAATGTAAAATGTAGTGGAGTAAAAGTCAAAAGTACCCATGATGAAATCTACTTAAGTAAAGTACAKATACATGAAAAATGTACTTAAGTACAGCAAGAAAATACTTGTGCTTAGTTACATCCCACCACTGTTTTTATGGACATATACTGTATGTATACAACAACAAATGCAGTACTTTTGTTTTAAAACAATGATGCAGCATGTTTAAATTGATACAGCTTCTCCTTAAGGATATTTAAGAGTTTTTACCCATGTACAAAGTGAATGGTTTAAGGCAGGGGTCTGCAACCTTTACAATCAAAAGAGCCATTTCTGCTACTGATACAGTAATAAAATGTGTCCAGAGCTGCAAAATAAGCTACAACTGTGATCATCAACTGGTGGTCTGTGGGCCTTTTCAAGGCCTTTCAGGGAACTTTTACGGTCAGTGGAGGTGACATTATAAAACTAAAAAATATATTGTGAATTTTATTATTTATTATTTTCGCCCATCAGGACAAATAAAAAGACTATATTCATGTAAACAAGAAAATACTTTATAAAGTTTATACCTAATTTCATAAAACATAGTACAACTGAATTATTCAGGCTTTTTTTCTAATTCTTATTATGTAGTTTTTAATATTCTTTAAAGGTAATTCTGATGGATTTGACAGAAAGACAAAAGTTGGATTATTTAAGTAAAAAACAGGCTAGCATAAGCTAACATGTTTTACTTTTTGCATTAGTAGTATTGATCACGTATTTGCTTACAAATTCATTTCTATTGTGAGTAAAAAAAAAACAAACAAAAAAATTATTCTGTTATGTTTGGTCACATTTTCAAAGAGCCACAGTTGAGGGACCAAAGAGCCACATGTGGCCCCAGAGCCACAGGTTGCAGACCCCTGGTTTAAGGAAACAGAGTTTGAGGAGATATTAATGAGTCTGTTTTATTATCATTGGTCAGTACTATATATGATTTCTGATAAAGCACTAGTAAAGAACTGTGGCTGACACAGCTGTTGTTCATTCAGAGTCTGGGATCCAGTCCTGAAGTTGCATAAATGATCTGCTGTCAAATTTTTATACAGCATCAGTTTCTTGGCCAGTCTCCCATCAGCTGAGTTTGACTGGCTGCAGTTAGGAATCTYTGCCTTTATTTCAAGGTTATAGTTTTAGTAAATGACAAGTTTTCATTATTTTTTTTATTTTTGCATTTAAACATTAAGCCCTGTATTAAATCTTTATGATCTCTAACGGATTTTGCTGCTTCTCAAGACCTTTATCCTCCCTGAAGGTTTTGCTTGTTTTTCTCTTTATCTGAAGTTGTTTTTGGCTCGAGCATCTCGTGCTGTTTTGCTGAAACCTTTCTTTATCTTTCAGTTTGTTCTGTAAACTTTGCAAAAAGAACACTCTTTGGACACACAAGAAGAACGACTTGGTGGAAGTTTCCAGAAACTGAACCGGATGAAACCAGAAGACACATTTAGACTCAAGTGTCTCCCTGACACTCTACTAAAAATAGGACAGCTTTGGAGATCACTGAGGGCGCTTGGTACAAATTTCAAAAGAGAAAATCAATTCTTTGCATAAAACGAATCAACTGGTGCCACTGTTTACCTTGGTACTTGTATGTGGCTCCATCCAGGTCTAGACTGCTTTCCTGTTTGGACCGGGCGATTATCTTTCATCAGACTTTGTACAGTCTATTTTTAGTTACCGATGTGGATACAAAATGTTCACTTTGGAGCATTTCACAGAAAAACAAATTCGGTGAACCAATGATTGTATTGATCTCTTACTGTTACAAGTAAGTCAAGCTTTAGTATATTTATCAATGATCAGCACAGGACTGTTTCAGCTGATCAAGATACAAATCAGGAAAAAACTAATATG